CACAGGACCGATCACCGATGGCCAATCGTTCCTTTCTACTTTGCCAAAGGTGGCTCAAAAATGTCTTCCCTAGTCTGTCTATCCTAACGATATCTCTTCCCGCCTTTTCAACCCACCTCCTATGCCCCAGTACAGCTACCGTCCTTTCCTCCCTATTCCATGCCTCAAACATCTCCCTGTACGTCCTATCTATTTTTCCCAGCTCAGTCGCGTACACCGGGGGGGCGGGGGGCGGGGGGGGGACTCTTACGTTTTGCATGCCTTAGCAGTTAGACCATTGACCACGCGTCCTCGAGAGGACGGAGCATTGTTCCCACAGGACCGATCACCGATGGCCAATCATTCCTTTGGGGCGAATTGTCTACTGTTGCTATGGAGTAAGAAGGAATGGCGAGTGATGTGGAAGCTGGCGTACTCCATGAGAATATTTTGCATGCACATACGTGCAACAGCAGCGGTAGCGGTGTTGAGGCGGTCAGGTCAGGCGTGGAACATAGGTCAAGAGCGGGAACACGAGAAAGAGGAGAGGAGGGCAACGAAAACCCTGGCAATCGTTGCGTTTGCGACGCCGTCGTCTTCGCTGTGGCTACGGCACGACTTCCTGTACCGATCGATAACACATGCATGTGACCTCACCTTAATCTTTCAAGCCACACCTAAGTAGTCAAGCTTTACCTACTCCTTCCTCAATACCGCGGGGATACCTTAACTTGAAGAGTGGGACAGAGGGACACAGCCCTTCGCTTCTTTATCATAGGCGACCATCCTTCAAGGAGACCCGCAGTCGTTCAGTTCAAGCCTATGCGCTACCATCTTTCATCAATGTGTCCGGGGTGTACTAGCGTTTCTGCTCGCCTGCTTGAGCGTCCTAGCCAGGTTGAGGCGGTTCCGCTCTCCCCCAGACAGCAGGTTAACCTTCTTCTGCTGGTCCCCTCCCTTGAAGTTGAACCACGACAAGTAGGCGCGACTGCGCACGTAATAGACCCAAGGCAACGATCGGATGGACACAGACAGAACACCATTGCATTCGAGCATTAAATAGTTTCTTCCCAGCGGCGACAAGAAAATTAACAACACTAACAACACCAACACCTAACGATTGAAACCCATCGTCTTGCCTGTTGATTGTGCGGGGCCCCAGCGTAATTTCATCAGCCCCGTCCGTCACGGCGTCGAACACCGACAATTCGGGGTCGTCCAGACCCTCCCTGTTCTGGTCGACGTACATCACGTCCACGGTCTCGCCCACTACCAGCTTGCCCATGTCCGGGGTGTCCAGACCGGCGATCATGTTGAGCAACGTCGACTGTTTATTGTTGTTGTCAGGAACGGGTTAGGGTTAGGGTTAGGGTGCGAGCAGCCGCGACGAAGGAAAACGACGTTACACGAAACACGTGTTATACAAGCACAAGCAAGGAGGCGTTTGCTTATTCTTGACACAGACGATGCAACGCTCCAGAGGAAGAGGCTAGACTCATCTTCGCGCTCGAGGCTGGGCGTCAGCGCGGGAGGCTTGTCGCACATCGCGGGTGGGGTTAGTGGTGGGGATAGTGTTAGTGACGGAAGGAAGGTCATGAAGGGTGTCAGGTGTCAGGAGGTGGGGCGCCGCAGAGAATACAATACCGGGGGGTGCCAAAAACTCCCGCGTGGCCAGGCAAGGTACATAACCTAATCCCGTGACACATGCGGCAGATTTCAGGATATGTCTCATGTCAAAATCTTTGAATGGTGCCAGGTTATTCAGACTGGCCAATCCCCTTTGGGACAATGCATGCATGCGGCCTTAGGCAGGGACCGGAAATATTTTACGTTGCTGGGAATGCGTGACGTCACCTTCCCGACTCCGTTAGCACCGATGATCCCTACGACCCCCCCCCTGGGAAGGCTGAAGTTAACCCCGTCGTAGAGGAGCCGTTTTCCCTTCGCCTTACCGAGGTCCTGTCCAAACAAACAAGACAAGCAAGCAAACAAACAAAGACTATTAACATAAAGAGTCAACAATCAAAAAAACAAATTACTCAATACATACAACAGTCAGAGAAAAGACAGAGCGACAGATGTATCGAGTATGCATACATCAAACCAACATCGGCAGGAGCGGGAAAACATGAAATGAATGATTTCTCCGGTTCCCGACGAATGTTATTTGTGGCGGCACCAAGCGCACAAAGCCTAACTTGCTTCATCACACAACCATGAATATTAAGTAACCCTAACCCTAACCCTAACCCTAAAGAACTCCCTCATCATTGGGTTTCGACCGTCTTGGCATCGTCTTTGTTCGTGGTAGATGAACCAGTCTAGTCCAGGTTTGAAAATCGGTCCAGGAGGGGGCGGTGTTACATTTTATGCGACAACAAGTTTTTTGGTACTGCATATCACCTATCGCATCTAATTACCTCCGCTTCGACGACGATGGTGCCTAGAGGGTTGCCGGGGGGGATGAAGATGCTCTCTAACGATGCCCTCGCAGCGGCGTCAGCAGCCTCGTCCGCCTGGCTAAGGCTGTGGTACCGTGCTAGACGAGCCTTGGACTTGGCCTGTCGAGCCTTCGGGTTCGTTCTTACCCACTATCAATATGCATGGAAACAAGAGCCCGAGGTGGTGCAGGGGTCCCGTGGGAGGGTTGAAAACACGGGGGAGGGGGGGTAGTGTTTGGGGGAGTGTCAGTGTGTCAGATACACGCACGCTTGAAGACAACGACGAAGCCGTATGTATGCATACAGTACGCGAAACGAAAATGTTGTACTTTTACGCCCCCGACTGTTGTTCCCAATTTGAATGATACGGTAGGTACTCCACACAGCTACTTCGTGTGAGGGGTCAGCGCGCAGATTGTTGCCTCGAGTCCACGCGGACAGTGCAGTCTTCGGGGGTGGGGGTACCCTACGCCTTCGTTTGCTGGTGCCTTCGGGACGGCGGGAGCGGCTACTACAGAAGGAGCTCGAGCTGCGACGAAAAAAACGAGCAATGGCATCATCCATCAAGCAGAACAACTTGAAAGTTGCCAATTGGTTGGTACCTAGAGCTGGGATCAGCACTCTCTCTCTCTCTCCCTCTCTCTCTCCCTTCTTATGTTAACCTTCAAATGAAGACGTTATCCTCATACATGACGCGTCTACACGCACACGAGTCCAAAACAGGCTTCCTTTCCCTTTTGCAACTCACCCCCCCCCCCCCCCCCCCCCCCCCCCCCCCCCCCCCCCCCCCCCCCCCC